CTTGGAAGTTTGCTATAAAAAGAATATAAAAATTACTAAATTTATGTATGTATGTGTGTAAGGAAAATTATATTGAGCGTATTTTTGATTACTTTAATTTAAAAGATTCATTAATTTTTTCCCAACAGAATTACCTTTTACTATACGTAGCAAGTAAGATTGCGTGGGATTTTATTGGTAGCTGTTATTACTATTGTTTTTGTTGTAGCTGTTCGCTAGCCCCACTTGGGAGCAGACATGATTAGTCTAGGTCATCGTGGTCATTTTACTAGAGGTCCAGGAAACGAGTTGTTTCGACTTGGTCGTACCACAGAGAAAGGAATGGTTAGACGAATTGATTTTAGAGAACATGTCCAAAGATGTGGTTAATGCCGTGTGTGGTCTCATTGCATGCAGGACATACGTTGAGTATATCGAGGCCGAGTCTAGATAAGTAAGAGTTTAGTCGATTACAATTTCAATTTTGTTGCACCAGTATTATGCGGCACTTTCAAGGCAACTCGTGCTCTTCGTCTGCAATGACTGATGGTTTGACTCCGAGAACGCCATTCACCGGTAGAGAGTTCAGAAAGGTGCTAACGGCTTGTGTACTCTCTATCTGATGTTCCGTAGGCGAGTCTCACGATAGTCTGTTCTATGCACCGTAATTTACCCAGATTTTATACGGTCAAGAGTTGTTATCCTTTCGACGACCTAACCCCCTTGAGGTCAACAAGTAATATTTATTGGTTGTACTTAATCTACGGTTTAATGAAGTGAAGTTTGTGTAGTTTAAGCGTTCGTCAGACAAAGACAGCAATGTTCTTCGCACTAGAAATACAATGTGATCCGATGGGTGAGCCAATTCAACCTAAGCTAACGAAAGGCTGTGCGTTTAACTCCTTCACTATCATCGGTGACTATACTCACCCACCACTATAACTTGGCTGTGCATGATCAGAAGATGCCGTTGAGTAGTGTCTATAAAATTAGGGTTAACGGTTAAGATAAATGCAATAAATTATCTTTTCTCTCGCATCCTTTTTCTGATTTTTAATGTGTGTATTTTCAGCATTAAGCTCCCTTTCTTGGTCTTCCGTACCGAAAGGTTTGATTAAACCCAATATATAAGGTTTTTCTACCAACTATTTTCGAGGTATCATCGCCTATAAGACCTTACATTTCGCAAGACCACCTTCTGATCTCATTTCGATTTTACAAATTGGCGGCGAGTCGTCTCTCATAGCCTCGACACATTCCCTACATTCGCTGCAGATTTTAATTCCACGTTGATAGTTCCACCATCCATCAGCTTAGAATCTGACCTCTTTACTGTCGGTAAAATCATTGTAACAGCAGCCCTTGGCTCGTTCCCAAAGTTTATTCGCCTGACGAAAAAAGTTTGCTTCTTCGTCATCTCCTGAGCGAGAGCGAGGTAGAGAGATAAGGAGAGAGAGAGAGAAAGAGAGAAAGAGAAAGAGAGAGCGAGAGAGAGAGACAGAGAAAGAGATAGATCGAGAGAGAGAAAGAGATAGATCGAGAGAGAAAGAGAGAGAGAGAGCAAGATGGAGAGAAAAAGATAGAGAAAGAGAGAGAGAAAGATGGAGAGAAAAAGATAGAGAAAGAAAGAAAGAAAGCAAGAGAGAGAGAGAGATCGAGAGAGCGAGAAAGAGAGAGAGCGATGCAGAGAGATAAGAGGAGATAGAGAGCGGGAGAGAGAAAGAAAAAGATAAAGAGAAAGATAGAGAAAGGGAGAGAGAGAGAGCAAGATAGAGAGAGGGAGAGAGAGATAGTAAAATACAGAGAAAGAGATAGAGAGAAAGAGAGAGATCGAGAGAAAAAGAGAGGGAGGTACAGCGAGAGAGAGAGAGAGAGATATCCACATCCTTACATTGTACACCCAACCCTGCTTCGCCGTACATTTTGGACCCAACGGTATTGATTGTGGTGCTATCCTTCTCCTCCCCCGGAGAGAACCTCTGCTCCATTCACATCTAGAGGGTATTCTCAACTGGAAACAACTATTGAAATCCCATCCTGAAAGGATATAGTAGATTTTAATTAAATTTTTTAGCACAACAACAAAGGTAACACAAAATATCATCAATCTTCTAAAGCAAAATATTTTACGATTACGTAAGAAAGGATCAGCATGAATTTTATGATGAATTACTGATTTCTTCACATGTTGAACTGACAATAAAAACGGAGAAAAAAAAGGAAAACAAAAACTGCGTTTTAAAATAAAATGCACAAGGTGTGTGATTGACTCAACGAGCACCTAACGATCGGGTCGAACAGCACACATCACGTGCATACATACATATGTACATAGATATGCTCGTATGTATATGTATGACTACAACAGTCGAAGCGAATTTCCACGTAACTGCGCAACAGGCTATTGGAACACTAAAAGGTAGAAGAAGAATAAGAAGAAGACAACACTTCAAAGTAATGCATTTTCTTATAAGTAGAATGTCTATCTATTATCCTTTGTTTGTATGTATGTGTGTGTGTGTAAATACATAGGTTTGATAGAAGATCCGGGCGATGACATACTAAATGCACCCCCGACAGTTGCATGCAACGCCAAGCCAATAACAATGAGCATACATACATACGAGTATGTATGCACACCTAGATATTGTGTCTCTGTGTGTGTGTGTGTGTGTGTGCATAGAGTTGTGAGATGCATTTGCATCGAAACGACAAACTCAATTACCTTCGAACAGAGCGTCTCAAAGACAACTTAATTCCACTGAGCACCGCCTAATCTGCGGAACGAAAGGACGATTGAGTCGTCCATCCAAGGAGAGTTCATAGTATTTTTACATGCATTTAATACCGAGAAATTGACTCAAAGAAGAAATAGAAGCAAACAACAAATGATATTGGGAAATAGAGATGTACATATGTACGTGAATGTATGATTGTATGAATGTATGTCCGTTGGACTGTGAAATGCAGAACAATTCAACAGAACACAGCTCCGGCGGGGGCAAAGACTTCAAAGAAATGACGAATAAGTGGAAAAATCTTTAGTATTAGAATTCTTTGTATACGCATACAAACATACATATGTACATACATACACACCGCCATATATATAAAACTCTATAGTAGATTGTTAAATGCCGCCTGAGGGCGCGAAATAAAAAGAATTTTCGAATTCGGAAAATTGCAATGAAATTAAGATCTTGAAAGCGCACAGCACGACTTCACATACAAAACTGCCGCAACAAGCCCGATGAGCAAAGTTGAGGTGTGGCAAGGCAATGTGCAGGCCGTCAAGTAAACAATTACCTTTGGTAGCAGACTCAATCGGAGTACAACGTAAAATCACAGTGTTTGGAGAAAAAATAGAAAAAAAGTAGTCGGAGTCGGGGGCATGTACAGCACACTCGGCGTACAGAACACACAGTAACTGTTTTTGAATTACATATTTACATTTCTCACGAAACACATTTGAAACGAACACCATTTCTTGTGCCGACAAGTGCTCTCTTACTCCGTTGTGTTGTAAGACGAGGTCTTAATTACCATGGTATGTGCTCTTCTTATGGCGACCGCGGTAGCCGAGTGGTTAGCACTGCGTACTGCCATTCGAAAGGCTTCGCGCTCACCAGTGTCGTTCAAATATCCAAAAAAAAGTTATAGAAAATTAATTTAAATAAAAAATTAAGTTGAAAATTTTCTTATTGCGACCGTCTCTCGGCAGGGAATATCAACCCCTCCGAGTGTATTTCTGACATGAAACAAAGCTTCTCATAAAAAATCAACAGCCGTTCGGAGGCGGCTTAGTCTAATTCCATTCCATTTGTTGGAAATACCTCAAGATGCAAAACTACAAATTGGAGGAGCAGCTCGGCCGAAAATCGTTTCAGCGGTTACAAGGCGCCAATTATATGTGATCTTCAAATGCGGGCTACTGGTTAGTTAAAAGAGTGAGAAGTGGACCCAACCGCAAGTGACCGCACCTAACCCATCGGGAAAGCTCTGGCTATGAATTCGTCCCAACTAGTCCTTGGCGAAAAGTACTCTCGGTACAGTCGATGGTGACAGGCTTCTACATCCTTGTGAACTGGGACTCAAGTGATATTCATTGTGTTTGCCTTTGTGTTAACGGACTTCATTACTGCTGGACTATCTAAAGCAGTTGCCCGTTTGGCACCTTCAGTGTGAGCATTACTGAGAATCGCTGCTTGAAATACGGAGATATAGTCATTGACTTTAAAGCTACTTTAGTTATTGGCATGATCACAGAAGCACCCTGCGGCTGTCTTAGGTTTAGAACTCCGGTTTACTACTAAAGTTCGCTCGCCGGATATTGGTGTCTCTCAAAAAATTTAAGTATTTGGGGTCGGTTTTTGATAGTTTGTGCTCATCGCTCTTCCTAAGCATTCTTAGAGCAGCATAGTTCCTCATCGCCCCTAAGGAACTACCTATACCTATACCTGTGTTCATTAAGGTAGAGAGTAGCTTCTCGGCGACTCTATATATATATCTCTTTCTTCCTCCTAAAACCCAGAATAGGGTAGTATTACTAATTTGTACGAAAGCTACGTGCCTCTAGAGCAATCCACTCCTATATTCTTAGTCTGCATCTGCCTTTTTATCCTTTCTTCGCTTCGTCCGTTGTTATTGACCGAGCTCCAAGCTCTAGCTATGGATTCGTCACAAAATCTTTGCAGCGACCATTGCAAATCCTTGGCGATTCATCGGATATCAAACGAAAAAAAAGATAAGATTTTTTTCCCCAACATAAAACTAGGATACAGATGCCAAGCCGAACGATGACTTTTCTCCCACCCATCTTACCTATTCCGAGGTACACGATTCTCGCAAAAAAAAGTAAAATCGCTAACCCTCAGAAAGAGCTCAGATCTCCACTAGAAACTAGCTCTAGAATCAACGTAAAACAATCCTTACTGAGTTCCACCGATCATCAAATTCATATTATCTAACATTTATTCTTAACATCATTCTAATTTCCGCATTCCTTCTTCTTCTACTTACAGGGCAAAGCGCGAGGGAGTCGCACCGCCATCTATCTACGTTCAGTATTCCAATCCCATCTCGAATCACTGGGTAGTTCCGTGCAAAAACATGCTGGTAAAATGCTTTTCGTAGCCATACTGGTATTGAGCACGTTTTGTGTGGGCCTAAAGAGTGCACAAATCCATTCGAAAGTACATCAACTGTGGATACAAGAGGGAGGTCGCTTAGAATCTGAACTCGCCTATACGCAAAAAACGATCGGTGAAGATGAATTCTCAACGCACCAGCTGGTCATACAGACCGCGCAGGATGCGAATGCATCTGTGCTGCATCCGCAAGCGTTGCTGGCGCATCTGGAGGTATTGAAGAAAGCGACAGCGGTAAAGGTGCATATGTTTGATACCGAATGGGGTTTACGCGATATGTGCAATTCACCGACAACGCCAAGTTTCGAGGGACACTATTATATTGAACAAATCTTCAAGCATTTGATACCGTGTTCGATTATAACGCCGCTGGACTGTTTCTGGGAGGGTAGTCAGCTGCTGGGACCGGAGTTTCCCGTGCAAATACCGTAAGTGTTGTGAAGTAAAAACTCTTCATTTCCATTTGAACGCTTAAGTAACTTTTTACATTTTACTCTCTCTCCCTCTCTCTTAATCTAATAGTGGCATCGATAAACGCATCATGTGGAGCACAATGAACCCGTCGAGTCTGGTACAAACGATGAAACAGCAAATGAGTGATCAGAAAATACCTTTTGATTTTGACATGGTCGAACAGTATATGAAACGTGCCGGCATTACCGCTGGCTACACGGAGAAACCCTGTTTGGATCCCAAAAGTGCCGAGTGTCCGGATAGTGCGCCGAATAAGGATAGCCAACAGCCACCCGATGTGGGTGCTATACTCACAGGCGGTTGCTATGGTTACGCCACCAAGTATATGCATTGGCCGGAGGAACTCATTGTCGGCGGTGTGCAACGCAATCGCTCGAGTCATCTGCGCAAAGCGAAAGGCCTGCAAACGGTAGTACAGTTGATGACAGAGAAAGAAATGTTTGATTTGTGGAATGAAAATTATAAAGTTCATCATATTGGGTGGACGCAAGAGAAGGCAGCGGAAGTATTGAATGCGTGGCAGCGTAATTTTTCCAAAGAAGTTGAAACGCTGTTGAAGAGCAATCGGCGTATCTCAAATAAATATGACATTTATGTTTTCTCATCGGCCACTCTGGACGATATATTGGCTAAATACTCCAACCCCAGCCCCATTAGCATTGTAATTGGCGTTATAGCTACCGTGTTCTATGCCTTCTGCACACTCATACGCTGGAAAGATCCCGTTAAGGGACAGAGTAGTGTCGGTGTTGCTGGTGTGCTGCTTATCGGCTTCTCCACCGCTGCTGGTTTGGGCCTCTGCGCGTTACTTGGCATCGTTTTCAATGCGGCGAGCACGCAGGTTGTACCCTTTTTAGCACTCGGGTTCGGCGTGGATCATATTTTCATGCTCACAGCTGCCTATGCGGAGAGTAATCGTAAGGAACAAACGAAGTATATATTGAAGAAAGTCGGACCGAGTATACTGTTTAGCGCAAGCGTCACATCGGGTTCATTCTTTGCGGCGGTCTTCATACCGGTGCCCGCACTGAAGGTGTTCTGCCTGCAAGCCGCCATTGTTATGTGCTTTAATTTGGCAGCAGCGCTGCTCGTTTTTCCTGCCATGATTTCATTGGATTTGCGTCGACGTACTGCCGGCCGCGCGGACATCTTCTGTTGTTGTTTCCCCGTATGGAAGGAGAAGCCGGTAGCTTTGGCGGAAAACAATGCGCGTTACCACAACAATCGCCGCAATGCTTATGCTGTAAAGAATTGCAATAATCGTTCCAACTCCGTGTCGGCCCAGCAGCCACAATTGAAGTATCAGGAAGAGGCACTGCTTTCGTGTTCCGAGAAACGTATGCCATCTTTTTCACTGTCAAACTTTGCTGTAAAGTATTACACACCATTCTTGATGAAAAGTTGGGTCAAGTTCGTTACGATTATCACTTTCATTGGCACGCTCGTCTTCAGCTTATACGCTACGACACGTCTACAAGATGGCTTGGATCTCATCGATTTGGTGCCGAAGGATACGAATGAATTTAAATTTCTTAATGCGCAAGCTTCAATGTTCGGCTTCTATAGCATGTACGCGGTGACGCAGGGTAACTTTGAATACCCCACCAATCAGCGGCTACTGCACGAGTATCATGAGGCTTTTGTACGTGTGCCGCATGTAATCAAAAACGATAACGGTGGCCTACCCGACTTTTGGCTTTCGCTCTTCCGTGATTGGTTAATCAATCTGCAACGCATATTTGATCGGGAATTGAGTGAGGGACGCCTAACGCCCGAAGGCTGGTTGCCAAATGCAACAAGTGACGCGATCTTGGCCTACAAATTACTCGTGCAAACTGGTTATGTCGACAATCCTGTGGACAAAAGTGGTGTGACGCAAAATCGGCTGGTGGACAGTGAGGGGATTATCAATCCGAAGGCTTTCTACAATTACTTGTCAGCTTGGGCTACCAATGATGTTTTCGCTTACGGCGCTTCACAGGTGTGTACAATGCGAAATGTTTGTGTGTGAGAAATATTATAAATATTTTTTAATGATTTTTTTCTTCTGCTCGTTGTAGGGTAAATTACATCCCGAACCACGTCAGTATTATCACATCGCCGGTGAATACGATCTCAAAATACCGAAGAGTCTGCCATTGGTGTATGCCCAACTACCTTTTTATCTGCATGGTCTAAATTGTACGTCGGAGATTAAAGTACTTATAGGGCACATACGAGATTTGAGTGTGAAATTCGAAGCGCGTGGCCTACCAAACTATCCCTCGGGTGAGTAAACGCAATGAAGCTTACAAAAAAAATTTGCAATCAATTTTTTCTTTTTATTTCTTCTATTTGCAGGCATACCATTCATTTTCTGGGAACAATATATGACTTTGCGCTACTCTCTCGCACTAATTCTCTGCATCTCACTCATTGCCGCTTTCATACTGGTCTCCATATTATTGCTTTCGGTATGGGCTGCAGGTTTGGTCGTCTTTAGTGTGATCGCTTCGTTAATACAAATTTTCGGTGCCATGACACTGCTGGGTATAAAGTTATCAGCCATACCTGCTGTGATACTGATATTAAGTGTGGGCATGATTGTCTGCTTAACGGTACACATTTCATTGGTAAGTTTACTTTTTTCACGCACTTCTGTTGTTGTTTCACGCTAAAGTCTTTTTTCTACTTCTACTTCAACAGGGCTTCATCACGTCCGTGGGCAATCGCGAACGTCGCATACATCTCTCAATGCAAATGTCACTCGGCCCACTTACACACGGCGTACTCACTTCCGCTCTGGCTGTTTTTATGCTCTCCACCTCACCCTTTGAATTTGTCATACGGCATTTCTTTTGGCTACTGCTTGTTGTACTATGTGTCGGCGCTTGTAATGGCCTAGTACTCTTTCCCATCATTTTAAGCATGTGCGGTCCCGAGGCCGAATTAGTGCCACTCGAACATCCAGATCGTATTTCAACGCCATCCCCTGTTATGTCGCGCGGTAAACGTGCCAACAAAACGGTGGTGGTGCATGGGGGTGGCCGTTCGTCACGTTCCTGCAGTAAGAGTATGCATCATCACAAGGATATCAATATAAATGATCCCTCGTTAACGACGATAACGGAGGAGCCGCCATCTTGGAAGTCCTCCTCATCCTCTATACAAATGAATAACGAATGGAATGGCACAAATATGAATTATACGGCGAATGGCGTGCCGCAACAGTTGAATAACTATAATATGAATAATTACTATATGCAGCGACAGCAACAACAAAATTATGCACATCATCCCATGCATCATCAGTCACCAATGCATCAGCAACCACCAGCGACACAAACTATTTACGGCGCACCGACGACATTTCACAAACAACAATATACGTCAACGCCACCGCCGCCGCCGTCGACACAGCAACAGCAACAGCCACAGCCGCAACATCAACAACAACCAGCACAACAAGATGCATCACAACAACAACAACAACAACAAGGTTCATCAACACAATCAACGTCCGCACACAGCACGCATACGCTTGGTGGGCAGCAACGCGACACGGGTAACTTTCCCGAGTTGCAGAGTATCGTGGTACAACCGGAAGTCACTGTGGAAACGCACCACTCGGACACGAACACAACGAAAGTAACAGCGACAGCGAATATCAAAGTCGAATTGGTTACGCCGGGTCGCGCGGTGCGTAGCTACAATTTCAGCAGCTAGCGGTCGCGTTGCGCCCCAAACGAATATTATTGTGAGTTTTGAGTGAGCGTGCAGCATGTGTATTGTATTTATTTGTATTAGTTAAGTAGTACCAGTGGTAGTAGTGTTTGGATTTTCAAAGCGGTGTAACTTAAAATGGCATTTTTTAACAAAACTTTTTTACTTTGTCACTTTCTGTGCATTGCAAGTCACGCACGAATTATTTCAAATGCCAACTGCCTTGCATGGGTAACGGAAAGTGACATTACTCGTTGAAATGTCGACAGGGTGTTGCCAGTGCATTGGAATTGCAAATGTGTTTAGAATTGAAACAATTCTTGATTTAGCTGATGGGGGGGAGTGCTTTCTTTAATTGGAATATTTGTGCAGTAAAAAACAGAAAAAAAGTTTCCGACCGTTTCAAAAATTTAAAAACATTAAAATCTTGTAAAAAAAATTATTTTAATTTATGATTTTTTTTCTGGCGAATTTCATGCAGTGAATTTCAGTTTAAAAAAAAAAAAAACTAAATTAAAATTTTGCAAGAAAAAAAAATGAAGTTTGTTCCGATATATTACAACTATAATCTTCTGAAATAAAACAAAAAAAAATTTTTTTTGCTTAAAGCTCATATAACTCAGATCAAAAAAAAATTAATTAAAATTTTGAAAAAAAAAACAACTATGATTTCTGAATTAAAAAAAATTATTTTTTTTTAAAGCCCTACTATATCGGATTAAAAAAAAAAAATATTTACAATCTGAAAATAAAACAACTTTTTGGGTTTTTACTTTCATGGAACTGTCGCAGACCACACATTTTTTGGAAATAGTGAAAAAATTGCAACTTCTTTTTTTGTTTTTTTTTTTTTTTTTTGAGAGTAAAAAATAATAATTTTCTGTTTAGAGCTCTTTTAATTTGGGTTTAAACAAATTAAAATCTTATAAAAAGAAGCTTTAGGTAAAAAGTTTTTGTTCAGATATATTACAAATACAATTTACCGAATTTAAAAATTTCAAGCACACATCACTACATTTATATTTTATATATTTTTACTCCCACTAAAAGAGTTTACCGAAAAATTGAAAATCATAACGAAAAAATAAAAAAATAGCACCGCAAAAAGAAATATTTGTCTGAAAAAAATTTGTATAGCATTTTTAAGTATTATAAGCATTTTGTTAACTATTTAGTATATAAGTAATTGTCTGTGTGTAAATAGCGTACATTGTAAACCAAATAGTATGACATACATTTTAAATTAATTAAAAATAAATAAATACAAATGAGACTAAAAATTACTGAGAAAAATAATTTCCATTTAAAAAAGTATATAAATAATAATTTTATATAATATTATATAAAAACATAAAATACTCATAATTTTTTAAAGGAAATATAAAGCATACGTTCGAAAGTGAAATATATGTTTGCATGTACATACATGCATACATACATATATGTAAATTTGAAACTAGTACAATTTTCCAATGACTCAAATTTGCATTAATGTACAAACGAAGCACTTAATTATTCAAAAATGAATTAAAATAAAATGATGAACAAAATAAATAAATTTGTAAATATTATTAATATAATTATATACAATCAACTTTACATAAAAGTATTGCTTTTCCCCACACTCGTATGACGCAAATGACTTAATAAAATCATAGTATTCAAGTTTAATTTATGTATATTAAAACATTAGTAAACAAAAGAAAACCTAATTTAAAGATGAAATAAAAAATTTGAAATTTTCAAATAATTATTTATTTATAGAAAAAAAATATTTGATTTATATAAAAAAAACTTTACTTTGGATAAAACAAAAAATTATATTTTTCACAATTTGTTTATATTATTTTTTATTTTTGCTTTTATTTTTTTTTGAACTATGCGAAATTTTTTGTTTACTTAATATATGGCAACACACTTAAGCTGAGCTAAAATTTACTTAAAACAAAAGAATATTCACCTACGAGTATATTTTTTATTTCTTAAGAAAAAAAAATAGCGCATTTCTCGATTTTCCACCATTCATTTAGTAGTTAAGCGCACACTATTCCTTATGTAAAACCGTTAAAACGAACTACGCATGCGTACGCAAGATTGACTTCGTCGTTTAACAGGACGTTTTAGCAGTTAATATTTTGTAAATGTTGTTTTATTATTATAATTATTATGCTTATTTGGCACTTGTAAGTAATTATTAAAGTGCTTAGTTAATGGTTGTTTATTATTATTATTACTATTATTATTATTATTATTATTAATAATATTATTATTTTCATTATTACTATTATTTTATAACTTAATTTAATTAATTTTAAGCCACTATGTATGTATACACCGTTCCGTGGGCGATAAATAATTTAATAAAATTGCGTAGGTACGATTTCTTTTCTTCCTAAGTGTAGCACTAAAACAAACGTATTGTATTATGTGTGTTCGAAAAATGAGAAAATAATAATTAAAATTTATAAAACTAATGAGTTGAGTGTATGCATTCGTTTGGTGTACTGGTAAATTTATATACATATGTACATATATAAATGGCGCTTTTGTAAGACCTTTCACCTTGTCTGAAACCTAGTTTGAGCGCTACTTCCCAATCATGGCAGAGCTTTTGGTATTGATACACATCAGACATAGCGGCGAAGAGACCTTTTCGTGCTCTCAACGGCTGCTTTAAACCCGACGAAGAGGTGGTGTGTGTCGTTGCAAGATGTAGCGCCTGAAAGCATAAATAAATATCTAGTGAACCGTGGACTTGTGATGTCTCAAACCACATTGATAATGTCCAATCCGTTCGTTGACGGCGGGCTTTAGTCTTTCACATAGTACGCTCGATGGGACCTTATATGCAATGTTGAGGAGGCTTATCCCACGATAATTGACACACACTGTGGGATCGCACTTTTTGTGAATTGGGCAGAGCACACTTGAGTGTAGTTTTTAGGTAATGCTGACAGTCCGTGGCTGGATAAAACTCTGAGTCGTTCCGTTATAAAGGCCTGACCATCGCGGGAACTCTTATCCAGCTCCAGTTAAATTCCAATCGTCGCGCATGCTTTCATCCGACCATATTTTTCAAAGAAGCTAATACTTGCAGCTTATCAGCTCTTCACCGCCTTATTGAAATAGCTCGGTTGATAATCCAGCGGCCCCGCCGCTTTTTCGTTTTTCAAGCAAGCATTGAAACATTTATTCCATCATCCTCGATTAGGAAATCGGGCTCAGTATTGCCTGGTGTTGTACTTTCACTGCCATTCGGTAGGCTTGAGAAGTCCTCCCTCCATAAATTCAGTATACTTTGGGCATCAGTTACTAGATCACCTCCTTGTGTTCTACAAGCGCCCGCAATTAGAAAATTAATTTTCCATGAGCTCCACATAAGGCACAGTTAAATCGTTATCCAACCCAACGATACGTAGCCAACAATTCACACTGCACTCTTCTGTTTAAAAAGGGAGCGAGCAGTCTGCGCAAAGTGCCGAATATAAGCGCGGCGCCTGGTTTCACCAGGTAAGATATGCAGGCGTTTATCGGGAGCTCGAATGTCTCCAAGTCATAGGTATCGACGACATTAGCTTACTTCTCTCTAGAACATCTGGGTCCAAAAAGAGCAGGCTATCTTATAAAGACTCTCAATTTGTCTTCGTGCCATTCTAATGATACCCGATCGGTGGAAAATGGGTAGAGTGGTACCGCTGCTTGAGCCGGGGAAATCAACCAACAAGGCTTGTTGGTCTCGTTCTTCACACCCTGAGCCCAGCTCACCAGCAAAGTTTCCAAACTATCGCGCGTAATGGCTTAACCCCTAGATAGTCCATGACCTTAAGCCACTGTTCAAACCAAATACCGAATTGTCTACAGTCATCGGTAGAATTTCACTACGTGGCCTTCGGAGGAAGATGTCTTCCCGTTTCTATTCTTTATTGACGCGTGGCAGGGATCATACATCAGACTTACAGACATCTGCTCGAAGCCAAACCGCCCTACAGGTACATCAGGAAGTAAGTACTTGAGACCATTTTGCATTATATTATAGGACGCGACGACCTTATCGACAGACCTTTAACGCCATACACGTCATAGCAATTCAAAGATCACTTATAGCAGACGAAAAGATCTAGCTGCCTTGCGGTAACCAGGTAATACTGGCAGAACTACGGTCCGGATACTGCAGTAGACTCAAAAACCTATTAATCCAGCGCATTTCTCTCTCCGACGTTATCGATTCAGTAAGCCTTCTCACATGCAGGGTTATCTACCCGTTACAACACATCCTGGGGGTAGAATGCAAGAATTTTATCACTGTAAGGCATGCCTGTCGTAAGAAGCGACTAAAAACCAATAGTTCCCGCCACAGTGGGATCTTCATACCGGAACGACTCGGATTTTTATCCCGCCAAGAACTGTCACTCGCGCAACATTTTCAAAAACCTACTTTGTAGATAAATTTTTTTTTAGCGACAACAACAACTCTCCGGAATGCTTTGAGAAAAAAATGTCTTGTTTAATTTTAAATATTTATTTGTAATTAATTTTCCTATCCGATCAACAATATTATTAATATAATTATGATATAATGCTTATACTGAAATGGAGAGCTAAATAAAAAACGGGAAGCGAAAATTGTAAGTGTCAAATTATTTGAAACTAAATAAAATTTGGTTTTTTTACAATAAATTTTTTATCAGACAAGTTCAGTAAGCGAACAACCCTATTTTAATGATAACAAAACGAACTACATTCATTGTGAATACCACTCTTTATAAATATTTTTCAAGGTGTCAAAGTCGTCAAAGTGTCAGCGAAATATTTTCTTCAAATTGGTAATAAATTCGTTAAAATAGAATTTTATAGTTTTTACAATAATCTGTTAGGAATAAATCCTCTGGGTAAAACATGCCAGTGGAGGAAGCATCCGAAAGTAAGGCGCAAAAGTTGGCTGCCGCGCGGAAAAAGGTAAAAACATTAGTGACACGTCACAGACCAATAAATATCTGTTAGCTCAAGTGTGTGTTTATTTGCCGCAGTAGGGGGAATTAGTTGTTGTTTTTATTGATTTGCAATAGGAAAGAAAAAATATTTATTTAAATTATATTTGCAGTTGAGGGAATACCAAAAACGTAGTGCATCGGAGAATGTCACCGCTGTAGTTGCACATGCTGCTCCTACGGAATCGCATGGTAGTAGTATTACCGGTGGTAGTAGCATTTCGAGCAATATATCCGAAGCTTCCGATTGCGAAATGACCACAAATGGTAATGAGGCTACAACGGCAAGTTTAGAAAATATAAACGAAAATTGTTCAACAACAAATGCAGCTGCAACGGAATTTGTTCAAAACACCACATCGACCGCACCAGTGTTTCAAGCACCTGCACTACCCACTGCCGCTAGTTACTTCTCCACAATTGCAGCAGATGGCACAGCTTCCGCACTAGATGGCATTGCGATGCCTACTGCTGCAACCAATGCTGTGATAAAAGATGCAAAAGCAGACCAATTGCAATTGCAGAATGTGAATGCTATTCAAGTGTTAATTAGCGAAAAAGCTGCATTGACATCGGATTTAAATAAATATCGTAGCTTAAGTCGAGAGCGTGAACTTGAGCTAGAGGAGTTGCGCACACAATTGGAGTCGGCATTAAAACGACAAGACGACTTGACTCAACGCTATCAAACACAACAACAGGGTATGGAACTATTACGAAAAACCAATGCTGAATTGCAACATAAGTTGGCGCAAGCCAATGCCCAACAGGAAGATCAAGCCGGCCATCTGGATGAGTTGAAACGACTGCTCGATAATATGCAACAACGTGCTGTTGAAATAGAGCATCAATTTAAGGAAAAGTCAAATGAGCTGGAAATGGCACAGCTGCGCATACGACAATTATCTGACGAAGCAAGTGTCAATCAAGTTGATAATCGTGTAGAGTCATTAACACAAAATCAATTTATGTACGAGCAACAAATCAGAGATTTGCAGGTGAGTTAGAGTATTTTTGAGTTCATATATATAAAGTAAGGCATATGTAAACATGTATGTAATTTTATAGGCTATGGTGCAACAATTGACCTATGATAAAGAGCAGGCAAATAATCAATATCAGAGTTATGTGCAACATCTGAACGCAGAGATAACCAATTTGAGTGAAAAGAATACCGAATTAATGGATGAGAGTACAAAGCAACAGGAACGTGAACGCCAATTGGTTGAACACATAAGCATACTGGAAAAAGATATACAGAAAAATATAAGCAGGCAAGATTTACTAAGAAAAGAAAAGGAAAAGGTACTTTTAAAACTTTTTCAAAAACAATAAAAAAAAATTTGGAAAATAAATAGAATTTTCTTACCATTCAGGAAAATGCACCTGACGGCCAACAACGCGCCGAAGAGCTTCAAAAACTCAAAGAGCAAATCAGCGACTACGAACTCGAGCGACACGAATTTCAATTAAAAATCAAATCACAAGAGGATCGTCTTGACATGCTCAATAATGAATTACTGGAAAAACAAACGAGTCTAGAGGAATTGTATGAGCGCATGAGGCATTATGCGAACATACAACCCGACCAAACTAAATTGCTAGCGACAATGGAATCGGATAAAATAGCCGCCTCACGCGCGCTCAGTCAAAATGTTGAATTAAAAAGGCAGCTTGATGAACTTGAAATGCGTTTCGTACAATTGACAAATGATAAAGCTGATTTAATGAATAAATTGGATGCCGAGGAGCATACCAATCGCGAGATGCGTACAAATTATGCCGATATGGAAGAGCGTTTGCAAAGTATTGACGAACGTTTCAAGTTTAAAGATGAAGAAATGATACGACTTTCACATGAAAATATGGAATTAAAAAGCAAAACAGAAGTACTGCAAAGGAGACTCCGGCAACAGGTAAATAGTGATAGAAATAATTTTTATCAACTTTTTATGTATGTACTTTTTCAGGGAAGAAGCAAAAATTTAACAAAAACTGGCGAAGATGAGGAAAATGATAATCAGGATGAGCTCACTGATGATCAAGATGACAATTTGCAAGAGCATGACGATGAAAAGCACGAGCATAAACACAACGGTTGTGACGACCAACATGAACATGAACATGAGCACGAGCATAATCATCATGAGCATGAGCACGAGCACGAGCACGATCATGGTCATCATGAGCACGAGCACGAGCACGATCATGGTCATCATGAGCACGAGCACGAACATGTGCACGGAGCTGCTCACACACACTCAACCGACCTCGCACATCACCACAATCATCAGCACGTAAAGAAAATATCCTCCAGCAGCAGCACACCATACTTACCAACCGAGGAAGCTGTAGAGAAATTAGAGCAACGTTTCACGCGCCTTATGTCACAAGTAGCCGATTTAACCGATGAAAAGCAACGCCTCGAACATCTCGTACTGCAGTTACAAGGTGAAACCGAAACAATTGGCGAGTATATAACCTTATATCAGACACAGCGACGCATGCTGAAGCAACGTGAATACGAGAAAGCTGCACAAATGCAACTGCTACAGCGTGAGCGTGAGCAATTGCGCGAAAGAATCGCAATACTAAATAATCTAGTGCACAGTCTAAGCACTGATTTGCCACACAGTACGCATAGGTTGCCAGAAAATTTCAATACAACTTTAAATACAGATAACAATGCAGAAGCAAACATCAATGCGGACACACAACCTTTGATTGCAGTAGCAAGTGAAGCGCAAGAAGATCAGCACCTCGATCAGCAACAGTTAGCACATTCAAATGCACAACAGACTGCAAATGAATCACGACAAATACTGACGAAAATTCAGAATATCATAACGGAAATAAATGAGAATAGCCAACACATTCCCGATGTGGCCACAGCGCAAACGGTTGATCATCTAAATTGTTGTCTGGGCAAAGTGGAAGTTGTTTAGAGGCGGCAGACGGTGCGCATGTGCACGTGATGGTTTAGCTTATTATTATGTTTGCTGTTGCTTTATGCACATGCTATGGGGTTTCAAAGAGAAATATATATACATATAAATTTATATATATATATATATATTTATGTATGCTAATGGTATTGTTTTCTATATATGTACGTATTGTATTAGTTGGTGGCAAAATGCGAAAATTGTAAATTGAAACGACTTTCGATTGTTTGCGACACATTTTATAGCCTTATTTACAGTGTTTCAGGTAAATTAAATATATGAATATTTGAATAAAATTTTGTCATTTTGTGCCGTAGAAAATATTTTTCATTCAAATGTTGTTGTTGTTGTTGCTGCTGTTGTTGTAGTGGCTCACTAGCCCCATTTAGGCACAGGTTTGATCAGTCTAAGTCGCCGAGGTCATCTAATGGTATATCCAGGAAACGAGCTGTTTCGACGGGGTTGGACCAAAGGGAGAGGGGGGTTAGATGAGTTGGTTTGAGAGCGCATGTGAAGAGGTGGTTGGTGTCGCGCGAAGACTCTCCACATGCAGGGCATACGTTGGGTATGCTGGGGTCTAGTCTGGATATGTAGGAGTTTAACCTGCACTTCGTTCAAATGCATAGCTATAGTTGGTGGGACTGTGGAAAATAATTTCCTGTGTTTATTTCAAGCATAAGTTGCAATTAATTAATATTTGCATTAAGTATTTTGTTTATTACTTGCGTGCTGTACATTAACAGTAACAGTCTTTTATTCGTATAAAATGTTTATTACAACAAATCGAATGCGAAAATAAATTAAAAACTACAAATACATGAAATAGTTTACTAACGGCATTAGAAACCTATGATTAATAAATTTATTATTATTATTTTTTTTTTTTTTGTTGACCAATCACACCCTGGACTCTTACCATATAATTAATTGATAGCTATAATCAATCGTATTAAATGGACTATTTGGATGAAAGTTTTAAGAAATCAATTATACGTTGATTAAATTATTAATCAGTCTAAAATTTACCGGCATATTTAAATAATTTTTTTTTAACCACACGCCGCGATATACACAAAAAAAAAAGAAAAAGTGCATATCTTACCGATGGTAATTGAAAATATTTAACAAATTTGCTATTTTAGTTTTTTCCCTCTCCTTTTGCCAAATTCGCTACGCTGTTTCGAAATCAAGTTCGGTTCGACTAAATTTTTTGGCGCACATCTACGTTGTGGACGCATACTTTGGTTGATTTCCTGCGTTTGCGACGCCGTTGTGCTCAATGTAGTTGCATTCGTTTTATTCTCAGTCATACCATCTGCAGATGTTGGCTTTTCATTGTGGCATGGCGTACTACAGGAAGCTTCGAGGAAATTTCCCATTGAGAATTGTGTTATGCCCAAGCTTAAGTCTGTTGATGCAGAAAAAAAAAACATATAGATTTGTATTTTTTTATATAGAACATAGAATTATTAAGCAAAAATCAATATACCGTCAATCCGTTTACTATCATTGGCGTTTTCATATTTTTTTGGTGTTGTTGTTTGTTCTAATTGGAAAATATGCATATTATTTATTTTTATTTTGCATTTCTTTTTAATTTTATTCTAACACTCACTTGTAGTCTGAAAGTGTTGTACTGGCTGTGGTGGTTCATGTAAGCGTTGTACTCTCACCACAACGCGCTTTTTGATTTGATCTTTATCCTCGCTGTTCAGCTTATTTAGTTCAGCTATATTCGTTACAGATTCATCATAGTCGTTATGTGAAAAATATAACGTATTACGGATTGTGTTAACTAAATCATTTTCCACTTCAATGTCACAAGGATGATAAATACTTTGTCTGTAATCTAAAAAGAAGAAATATAAATAAAATCAAATAATAAACCAAATTTTTTTTAAGGAATTAACAATCTACTAACCGTGACCAACATCACGTACTGCTTGTATAGAGTCTTCTTTATCATTGCGTAGGTCACGCTGTTTACCACGTTTTGTGACAAAATGTCCCTTTTCGCCAATTTCATTTGAAACAATATTTGTAAGATCTCTTATCGGTTTCCTTTTATGTTTTTCAACTAAAGTAGCCGTATTTCTATCATCATCATCATCATCCTCCCCCTCCTCCTCCTCTTCTTCTTCTTCATTAGCTTCTCTTATACAATGTAACTCCTCGTTTTCTTCGTTCTCATCATTTTCAACATCTATAATATTTCCTACACCATCTACTGAGTTGTCTAAATCCATATCGCTACCGCTGGTCTCATCCAATTTGCTGTATTCGGTTTGTTCAGCTATAGCATTGTCGTCTTGTGGCCGTCTTGTTGGTGACATACGTACATTATTCTGACGACATATAATGCTTGAACGTCGGAATTCTCTGACGAGTTGTGAACTTCTAGACTGCCCAGAGCTGTCACTTTTCCCACTTACTCCAACAGCAATTGACGGCAAATTGCAGTAGCCCAAAATTTCTGCTATATTTACATTAGCATCAATGTCATGTAGAGTGGTTACAAAATTATGTGAAAGCATTGAAATAACTCTTTCGCGCCATTCTTGTTGTTGCTCAACACGCAAGCGTTGCTGTTCCATAATCTCGGCACGCAGTAATACCAGTTCATTTTGATAAGTGGCAATGGTTTGTTTTAACTCTCGATTTGCATCGATCAACTCCTTATTAAGTTGTTTGTAGTCACCCATACCAGTTTCAAATTATCATAAGCTTTTTAAAGAAAACACAAAATAAAATATTACAACTGCACTTTTAATATAAATGATATATTCACGTTTCAGATTAAATCAGTAATTTTTTGTAATTCGTAATTAATTATTAATATATATAAATAATATTATATTGTAATTAATTTGATTAATATTTATCATGACACAAGTATTTTATTCACCAACAATTAAAGTGGAAATATTCAAATTCGATCGTATGTATTTTCCCAACTAAATTTCAAACAATAAATTCAAAATAATGGAAGCAAAATGAAGAATAGCACAGGGTTGCATTAAGAGGATATGCTTGAATCAAAATTTTTTATGAAGCATTCAAGCACAGGCGAATCCATGTAGATTGTAGCAAAGAACGTATATCAAATAACGTATATGAATAAGAATCGGCATGACGGTCTCGTAAATATATCAGGAAAGAACGTATATGGATTCATAGCGAACTGAGCTTATATTTCCCCATCTATTCATATTGGTCGAGGAAAAATGGTGTGGAGAGGACACGAGTTCCTGAAAACAACTCTACCGCATTTTCAGAAATACCGTTTGAGCCTTGCCGCTTCTTATTCATATACGTTCTTTGCTATGAATTCATATACGTTCTTTGGTAATAAGTTTGTTTGTTGGCATGAAATACTAAATAAATGGCAGCTACATTTTGTAATTTCTTCTTCACATCCCATTTGACAACCAATTTGACAGTTTCAGTTGTGAATGGACATTTTTGCGAATTTTCATTTCATATCTGTTCATTATTTCAACCTAACAACGGGAAGTTTGTTCTGTGTGGAATAAGTTATATTTGTTTCGATATCTACCGTTTCAATTACAAACAGATATAAATAATTTTGGATATAAAAACGTTAAGTGGGCAGAAAAAACAAGTGTTTTCCAGTACTAAACCATACAAAAGATTAGCACGAAAAACAAACGGCATAGCTGTGTGATAAAAAGAAGTGTTCAATAGAGATAGTAGTGCAAAAAGAAAATTGTTGACTCGTCAGTAATAAAAAAATAAAAAAGTAAGAAATAAAATGAATATAATGAGCGAATGCTTTTAATATTTAAGTAATATAGATATTTTGCAATACGTCCTTAGCACAAATTTTTTCGGTTTTAATCTTCTTAATGTGGGCTGTTTGTTAAGTACGTACGATAAAACGAATTCTTAACACAAAAGCTATGCGCATGGTGACGTTTCGTCGTCGCATCGAGAAATCAAAGCAGCAAGCCAGATTATACGTATACGAATTTGGTGTTTAATATTTTGTGTGTACTATTTTTTCACTATATACTGCGTGTTTAATCAGTGTAGCAAAGTGTTGGGAGTAAAACAAAAATTAAACTTATATATAAAGTGCATACGGGCTTCATAACTAAAAGTAAAACATTTACAACGCGCAAATAAGCCATCAACAGCACACATCCAATCGTATTTACGCTTCCAGGTAAGTTTGTATTCCTCTATACTGTGCACGACAATCACAGTGATTTAGTGTAAGGAATTTGATTTTGATTAAAATATATATTTATATACAAAATTAACTTATACTCTTCGTTTGCGCAATTACTTCCTTATGGCTAATCCTATTAGCACTAGCTCGTTGACATCTACCATTGCAGCGTAACCCAGAAAGAGTACATTGTCGTTTTGAACCCAAACACCAGCCTCTAGAGCAGGTCACAATATGCAATGGCTAGAGGGTGGTTGCGCATATAGGAGGTGGGTTGTTTACATACAATTACGTATACATATATAACATGCTATTCAAACATAAACCAATGAAGCGCATGACGTGCTTTTTCGGCATGAAAGCATATGATTACAAGAGAGTATATACATATGTACACCTATGTATGTAAATGTGAACATGTAGGAATCACTCTGTTGGTAAGTTGAGTATGATTGTGGAAGGCGATATCCTTTTGAAATGTCTACAATGCGTATGGACAATAGCAATCTTGTTGAGCCACACTCCATTAAGCAAAGTTTCTTTTTTGGTTTTCCTTTGGACTTTTAAGTGCTTGCAACACTTTGTGCTCAAAGAAGTGTTAAAAGCTAGCACTTTTTAATTTTTTATTTCCAAGCGATTGAAGTGAGTTCAATGTCATTGCAATAAATATAAAAGCAAAGAGATTTAAAATCTTCAGAAAATATAACTCTAAATGCTTGATCTTCTAGCAATTTGTACTCTAAAGATGTTATTAGTCATCCCAAGTTGTTCATGTTTGTTTTTTCATAATACCATATTAACGGTGTTGTTGGTAAAATTTTATTAATTTTTTCAATAATTAATACATTTTTGTGATTTTTATGTTTTTCTGCTATTGAGTTATTGTCTTGGTTATCATATCTTATCCGTCCCAAAGCAAATTATCTGCTTTTTTCGCTTCTTTACTTTTGTTGGTGATAAGATACTCATAGTGAATATATGTATATGTGTGCGTATATGCATGTATGTAGGTGGGTAGAGGTAATAGTGAAATGTTGAGGGAGTGTGCCGTCGGTCACCTATTTACCGATGTATATATGTACACATGGATATATGTATTTTACGCGAAAAAAGTGATTTGGCATATAAAAAAGAACCTAAATTTGCTCTAATGTACCTCTTTTTTAGGCATACACGCATGTACATACATATGTACAAACTTTAAATAGAATATATGTATTCCTAGTATATAGAAACATATACACATATCTTAACGTGTATATGTTAATATTCTTCGTTTAATTTATTTTGTTTGTAGCAGTGAAGAGTAAAAAGAAGAGTTAATAATTATTTTTATATGCAAAAATTGTAGATTAACAAAATCAAATTAAAAAGGGAAAAGAAAAAAAACATAAAAATATTAAAAACTAGTAAAAAACTTAAAAATAAACTCATTTTATGAAAAATTATCTTATTTATAGATAAAAAAAAACCATTTCAAAATATTGAAAAAATGAATATAAATAAATACTAAAAAAAAAAATTTAAAAATTAAAATACAAGAAAATAAACAAATATATACCAAACACGAATCTTTACTTTTCATTTTATTCTTCCATTCATCGTTTTAGCTATAACTCTAATACACTTGCTATTAATAAAAAAACATTAAAAAATTGTTAAAAAATTAATAAATATTACACTTGCTATTAGTTTGAATATAAAGCGGACTAAAAAAAAATAAAAAATACTAAAAATTAATTTGTATTAAACATTAATGAAAATATTAATGTTTGTATAAAATAAAAACTAAAAAGAATGTAAGTACTAATTTTTTTCAGATAATGATCAAAAAATAAGTAATAAAAATAAAAACTATTTCAAAATATTGAAAATTTTAAAATTAAAAAGAGCAGAAAATAAATAAATATGCCTGTACTAAACATTAATAAAAAAAACCCTTAAAAATATTAAAGTATACCAAAAGAAAAATAGTAAAAAAGTTCAAAATACTAAAAAATTTAAAAAAAAAGACTAAAATATTAATTTAAAACTAAAAATAATAAAAATATTAAAGTATGCTTTAAAAACAAAAAAAAATTAAGTACCAATTTTTTTCTGTAAATTATAGCACTAAATAATGTGAAACAAAAAAAAAAATACCAAAAAAATTAAAATATCAGAAAAAAATAAATAAATATATTAATGTTTTTGGTATGCAACTAAAAACTAAAAAAAAAAATTCATAAATAAATAATAAAAAATTGTTAGCATACTGAAAATTGTTGAAATAAAAAATACTAAAAAATATTATAACATAAAAAAATACTATAAATATTTAAAAATATTAAAAAGTTGCAGTCACCTAGGCAAAAAAAAAACCAAAAATATATAAATATATATATATATATATATATATATATGTAAGTACTAAAAACTCTAAATAAAAGTGAAAAATCTTGAAAAAAAAAATATGCTCAATTTATTTGAAAAAGTAAACAAAGAAAAAAAATAAATAAAAATATAAAAAAATTTTACCAAAAATTCTAAAAATAAACTCTAGTAGCTTAGTGGTTTTAAAAAAGTTTCAAAATTATTTAAGAAAAAATACTAAAAATGTGTAAAGCACTTTAAAACATGTTTAAAAGTAATTAAAAAACAAAGTGCTAAAAATGTTAAATAAATGGTAAAAATGCTGAAAACGTTTAAATAAAAAATATTTACTAAAAATGTGTTAAAAAATTGAAGAATAAAACTAAACTGAAAATTATCAATAAATAAATAACCAAAAATAGTTAATATGCTGAAATAAAAAGTACTAAGAAAATACTAAAAAAATTTAAAAAAAAAAAGAAGCAAAAATATATTTCAAAAAAGTTGCAGTCACTTAGGCCAGCAGAAAAAAAATATATATATTTATATATATGAAATACTAAATAAATTGTGAAAAATCGTAAAATAAAGTATACTAAAAAATATTTGAAAAAATTAAAAAAATATAAAAGATACTAAAACCAAAATATAGTAGCTTAGAAGTTTAAAACGTGTTTAAAATAATTTTAGAAAAAAAACATACGAACATTATAAAAAAAATATATATATTACCAAAAATCTGTAAAGCAGTTTAAAACATGTTTAAAAATAATTTAAAAACAAAATACTAAAAATATTAAATGAATAGTAAAAATGCTGAAAATGTTTCAATAAAAAATGTCTACTAAAAATGTATAAAGAAAGTTTAAGTATAAAAATTTATAAAAATTTTAAAAAAGAAATAACAAAATTCTAAAATTATTTAAAAATCCAAAAATAATACATCAATTGTTAAAAGTTTATAAAAAAAATTAAAAAATATGAATATATTAAAAATATTAAAAACTTTAAGATTAATAAATAATATAACAAATTAATAACTTAATTTAACTTATTATTATTTTTTAACTATTTTTAGAACTTTTAATGTTTTTAGTATATTTTAATTAAAATATTTTGAAAACATTTTTAAATGTTAAATTTGGATTTGTTTAAATTCAGCTATACATTAATTTCTTTACGTATTTTATATGCATATATACTAGAGTATGGCATTAAAGGCATATAAATTACAAAAAAAAAAAAACAAATATCTAAAAATATTGTACACAAACATTTCGACAAATGTAAAAGCAATAAGTTGATTTGTGTGTCTGTCGTCTGCTCATGATCGCATCACTTCATCTCATCTCATCTGCATTTGAGTGACACACAAGTGCACATGTACTCGTATACACACATGCATACACGCATGCATGTATTTGTGTGTAGTGTGTAATA